GTGTTCCATATTATATATCAAATCAGCACACTGTACCCCATAAATGCACTGATGTACACAGTTATGATTTAATAAAGAATTTTAAAAACAAATAGCAGGTCATTGTGGCAGGCACCTGTACTCCCAGCTACTTGAGAGGTTGAGGCAAGAGAATCGCTTAAGCCCAAGTTTTTGAGGTTGCTGTGAGCTGTGACACCATGGCCCTCTACCAAGGGTGACATAGTGAGACTCTGCCTCAAAAAATAAAAAAAAAAGAAGTATCAGTTCACCATATTTTCAATGGCTTTTTAGGTCTTATAAATGTTCTAAAACAGGACTGTGGTAACAGTTGCCCAATCCTATAGATTTACTAAAAAAAAAATTAGGATGCATGAATTTTATGATATGTAAAATGTGTCTCAATACAGATGTTTTTTTAAAAAAAAAAATCAGTGTCACTAGATCAAATCTTTCCAAAGTTCTGCTCCTGATTGTAGAAGTGCAGTGCTGCCTCAAAGATAAAGTGTTCACAGCCCTCTAGTCTGGCCTTCAAACTGAGCCAATCTTTTCAAACATCCTAACCCCTTTGTGGCAGCCAAGGACGTAGGCTATGGAGTTAGAGCCTGAGCCTTCCAGCCCTATACTAACGTACTCTGTCACCATGGGTTTCTTCTCATCAGTGAACCTGTCTCCTTGCTTCTGAGATGGGATCAGGATATCTCACCTGACAGCTTAGCTCGCTGAATACCTGTGATGTTCTTAATACATCCTACACAGCGCTCAGCCCAGAGTGAATACGCACACTCTTTGCAGGACCAGTTCAGGGGCACAGACAAGGCTTCCTCCTGAGGAGGCATCACCTGACCATTCCCCTTCCAGCAGGCAAGGCCATTACTCTTTGCACTATTTTGTTTCCTTCTTAACACTTGCAATCTTTTATTCTTTTGCCTCTTTTTCCTTTTTGGTCTATTCCCCCTGCTCTTACTAGGCTGAGGCCTCCGTGATAGCAGGAACCTTGGCTTTGTTCCTTATTGTCTCAACAAGGTCAGGCCCAGTGCCCAGCAAGTAACAACCTGGCAGTAAACACCGGCTTAGGTGACAAGTAATTGGTGGCTGAGGCGTGGTGCTCTAGCTGCAGGCTCTCTGGCACTGGCATACTGTGGACCCTTTCCTGTATCTGACCTTGCCCTTCTGCAGTGGTCCAGAATCAGCCTCAGAGGAGCAATAATGACAGAGGTGATCTAGTCTGGAGGGTATGATGAGGCCGGGAACACGGAACATGGCTAAAGAAGCAGCCCCCACAGGAAGGGAGCAGAGCAGAGCAGCTGGAAAGGGGAAGAGGGTGAGAACAGTGAGGAGCCTGAATGTTGATAAGAAACCAACTTCAGGTGAATTACAAAGATGGCTGTTTACAAAGGGTAGAGAAGAAAAATGAACACATGCCCCTCTGTAAGCTGACCACCCAAGGGACTGCAACAAACTGTCAACACGTGGAGGGGGCCACATAAGGAACAAGGCCTCCTGTACTGATACCTACATGTGGTACATGTCCAGTCTATGAAAATTAGGTCAACTTAAGGAAGTGGGCAGTGTAGGGAGGTCAGCTATGGAGGTTCTACTGTGTGTGACATCACTTACTGAAAGATGAGGTTGAACGTACTGGTTAAAACAAAATCTTTATTTCACACATGTTTGCCGTGAAAACTGGAATTGAATATAACTGCAGCATTTTTGCATTAATTAAATTTCTTTTACCTTTCATGGAATTAGGGCTTAAATTCACTATGCAAATTCATGCACATAAGCATGCAAACTAGCAAGGCCCTAGTACTTAATTTTATGGGGATTTTCCAGGACTAGGTCCCCAGGGATTAAATATAAATGGTGGCCAGGCTGGTCGCTCATGCCTATAATCCCAGCACTCAGGGAGTCCCCAGGAGGTGATTGCTTGAGCCTAGGAGATCTAGACAAGCCTGAGCAAGAGTGAAACCCCCATCTCTACTAAAAATAGAAAAAACTAGCTGGGCATTGATTGTGGTGGGCACCTGTAGTCCCACCTACTCAGGAGGCTTAGGCAGGATTGCTCAAAGCCAAGAGTTTGAGGTTGCTGTGAGCTATACTGACACCACGGCTTTCTACCTAGGGCAACAGAGTGAGACTCTGTCTCAAAAAAAATAAACAAACAAACACAAATGATCTTTAGGAACATCCAATTTTCTCTGAAGAAGTTGGGGCACATACTCTTCTTTGGCACCTATCTCCTATTAAATTAACTTCTCATTGTTCACTTTGGTAACTGCTTTGTTGATCTGATGGTCTTTTTTATTCACCTACCTAAAAAAAAAGGTGAACTCCTCAACTCTCAAGTAACTCTGCTAACAGAAAAAGCCCCTACACCAAACACTTTATTACCCTCACCTCCTTTCTTCACATCTTCTTCTTTCAAACACAAGCAGAAGGAAGAACACGGCTCTCATAATATGGTGCCGTGCACCTCACTGTGTACCTCCAGACAAACCATTTATTCACTCTGAATAGTTTACCCAGCTGGAAAAGGAAACAGTCAGTCATCAAAGCTCCTTCTAATTTTAATAGTCTGTTAAACTCAGTAGGGCATCAGCATCCGTGTCAGGATAGTTACAGCCACTGTCACTAAAGTTTCAGGCTGCCCTGCACATATCATTGGGGGGAGGAGGTGGAGCGGTGAGAAAAGGCTAGCTTTTGTACCCATAAGATTAAAGCCAAACTCTCTAAGCCTGATTCTCCATCCTTAAAGAGAATTTATACTTTGTACAATTATTAAGAGAACTAGAATAAAATGTGCCTGCCTGATATAATACTCAAAAATGATGCTGTTTCTCTGTCAACTTAGGAGAAAGACCTCCAGAGGCATTTCCCCTAAACCTTTGAAGACTTCTAGCTAACTTTACAATGTTCCCCAAACAGAGCAAAGGATGTCTTTCTATTCTGGTGCCCCCCCCCC